TTTAGTCGACCTTCCCAACTGGGCCAAATAGAGCTCTGATACAGTAGCATGTTCATCATGACTTCATATTCAAAATGCGCTACATATCCGTAGACTCGACCCACGTTTTTAATTTTCCCTAGTCCCGCATTCGCTTCAGTGAAGAATGAGCAAACGTAAGAACACGAGCAGAGCTATATCCATCTATATTCACCTACATTTTTAATCAATTGAGCCTTCAAACTATCGGTACATAAGTTCCAATTTGTAAATCATCCTCTTTTCTCTTTTAAAATTATTTAGAGTTATAGGAGTTCGATAAATTCTGCCACAGCATAGTGACTGAGGAATATTCTTCAATATCTTACAGGAATTATATCATGAGTACTTGCAACTATCCGGAATGGACCACTTGCGCACCGCGTTGGTCCACGGGTCTCAAGAATATAACATCCTGTGTAGTACCAAGCTCCTTTATCTGCCCTACTCAGAGCACCGCCGCTATGCCTAGCGTATAGTCAAGCTGCGAGGGTTCCAGAATATTTAACCAGGCACTGTTTTGACTTGTTTGAAAAGTGAGTTCAAGCTACGTGTGGACAATATATGGCCCTTGGAATCAAGAAGGGAAAACGACTTCTCAAGCTGTCGAACACGGCACATAGTGTTTGAAACGCCAAGAGCGCTTGTAGAAAAAAAACCCCATCTCAGAAGGCGAGTGAGGCCGAAGAGCTAGCGACTAATCATGAGACTCCCTGACCATGACTAACCTACTCGAGACACAGACCGACACCAAAGCAAGCCATTCATTATAGAGCCCTAATGTTGGGATCCACTTACAGTTGTTTCCTCCACGTCGCTATTGTTGGAACTTGCATGACCCGTTGAAATACGTCTATGTATGATAGTATTTTGCACCGGAAACCTGCCCAATTGGGAACTGGCGCATATATAAAACATTGTAGCCTTTTCCTCCTAGCTCTTTATATGGGTTTGGAGAAAAAATTAAACGTTTGCCGTACTCGTATTCTCACACGTCCATTACAGTGGGGCTGTGGCGCAACAGATGTCAGACCAGAGTATACAACAATACTAAGTATAGCTCCCCTAGGCCATAAACAGGAACGTTGGCTTTTGTTGCGCTCTGGTGGTAATAAACGCTGTACTTTTGTCTTTCCCACAACAGACAACATTTAGACATTCAGTCATCCTTTTATCCTAGTATCACCTTCGTCTGCGTGCAATGCTCGCAATAATTGCAAGCTAGTATTTACCAAGATATACACTATATAATTAGGTTCGGAAAAGAGAAACGAAAGACAAAAATATAGAAAATACTATGACAAACTGCCGCCTGGTTACTGAAGCCGACATCGGTCAATCTATCACCTTCGGATGTGGATAGCTTCATCTAGCTGGTGGATTGGAGAACGGTGTTACCTAGCTAATTAAGCCCCAGCGCCTTGCTATATTGCTAGATTATGCGCCGTGTGCTGATGTCTTACTATATTGCTGCCTTATGCTGGTGGTATAGCATGAATCTAGTAAAGAGGGGATCCCTTATATTGAAGGTCGGCCTCACGATACTCTCAAAACACCATAAATCACTCTTTGCATATTTCGAAGGCGCAAGAGGATCACTGCTCAGATTGCTTGATGCGCCTCAATCTTTTCTCCAGTTGGTTTTCCAAAATTCAATATGGAGATGATCTATTCCGACATGGCATCCATTGATAAAAGCCTCGCCTTGGCTGGATTCCTCCAAACCTTCTTGCGTGATTTGATTCTCCCTTCTCTGTTATCTTTATTCTATCTCTTTTGCACCGGCTCTTTATTCTTTGACGTGGTCCATTATATGCTGCATCGAACGGACAAATCGTCTCTTCCTGTTCTCCGAAGTCTCGCACGCATTCACCGTTTCCATCATCTGTATTTTACTCGGCATATGAAGTTCGACGATAGATATCTCTGGCGAAATCTGGTTCAAGCGCTACCGCTTGAGTTAGGGCTTCAAATCCTTGGAACTGCACTAGGATATGTCTTTGCTGCTTTGGTGACTCCCGCCGGCCTTGTGTGGGTACCACGGAGTCACCTCTGGTCTATGATGGGCATTCAAATCTTCAGAACGACGTTTGTAATGCTCGCGAATGGCCGCGACTCGAACCATCTGGTGTACAAAACCGCCCCAAAAGATCCCAACTGGATATTTGCTGGCCCGGAGTTCCACGCCCTCCATCATGTTTACCCGGATCGCTACATTGGATCATTTATCAAACTATTTGACTGGGTGTGGGGCACCGCCTACTCCTTTCGAGGGAAACGCTTCGTGATCACGGGTGGAAGCGGAGCCTTTGGCCAAGCTATTGTAGCAGAGCTTGAACAAGAAGGAGTACAGAGCATTCGCAATTTGAAGTTCGGCGTCGATTGGGACCATCACCACTTTGAAAAGGCTATCGCAGCGCTTTCCGCGTGTGACGTCCTCATCCTAGCCCACAGTACCGAAGACCAAGACGCAGATTGCAATTCTGCAGTCCAACTGGTGCGACTATTCAAACAGAATAGATCTTTCGGCGAAACCAGTCCGACGCTTCCAGAAGTGTGGTACGTTGGTAGTGAAATTGAATTACTTCCATCATTTGGAAATGAACAATTACAACGTTATTCCCAATCAAAACGACGCTTTCTCCCACATGCTCGTTCATTCTTTGATGACCCTGATATGCTTTACCGCCATATTGTCCCATCATCTTTTCGGTTACCGTTGGGGACAGTTATACCCCCGGCAGGTTGGGCAGCTAAGGGTGCAATGTGCTGGATTCGGAGAGGTGCCCGATATATCCCTGTTACATATACGGGAATTGCATATTTGAACTACTTCAAGTTTATGCATTGGGTTCCCTACGCACAGGATACAGATAAATCGTGAATAAGAGTTTTTGTTGTTCTATATAATGCCATTGGATATCCAAAATGTTCCCGTTTCATTTAAGTCCCGTCTATAGCAATCTATAATCATGAATCCATACTTCGTTTCTTTCCTCGATCATTCACAATGTCCAGCATTTACGGAAATATATAACGAACGACGTAGCTTCTTGCCGGCAGCTGCACCAGGTCTATCAGAGCTGTGGCATCGTAACTGTAATGGAAACGACAATGAACTTTGAGTGCTGAAATGATAAATACGCGATCCAATAACACCGATGCCTACTTAAATGAGGGGAATGTTTTCGACACTACGTAAACGCTGAATTTCTATGGGGAGGACTACAATAAGCTCCCTAGGATCAAGCACAAGTCCGAGCGTTGGAGCGGTCTTGATAGTGGCACGCGGAACTATAACCTGAAAATCGGATGATGACTACGATCAGAAAAAGAAATTCTAGCAACCATTCGCAAGCTTGTGAGAGTTATCCGTATCCTCCTCCTCGAGATCTTCAAAAAGTGGCATAAACTCCTCGTTCTTAGCCTCCGTTTGTTCGGGAACAATATAACCCACCTGAATTTCACAATCGCTAAGCACAGAATCAGTGCCGATAGAGCTACGGCTCCCAACTATGCATCCAGTTAGCACACAACGTTCTCCAATTACAACGCCATCAAGAATGACGCATCGCGTGATTTGAGCACCACTGCAGATCTTGGAATTTGGGCCAATGCAAGATTCCTTATAACAGAACGTCGCTCAACAATCACATTCGATGCAAGGAGACAGTCGGTCTGCAGAAATAAAACAGTTCGAGGCCACACATTCAGGGGAGGCAATCTTTTGATCGTGTGCGAATTGAGCTGTATGGTCGACATCTTCAATGGATCCTAGTTTGGCTAGGCGAAAGGAGGTTGATAGGAAAAGAGTGGGATTGTCAACACGACGGACAAGCGGCGTAGATCCTGTATGGAGATATGCTAGAAGAGGTGGTACTTCTGGAACGTCGTTCCGTGGCGGTTGGTGGGTGACGGTGCTCAATTCCCGGTAGTCGCTCTCTTCATGGCTTTCTCTCAAACAAGTATCCATTCCTAGCTTTCCATGCAGTCCCCGCTGCCATGCAGACTTAGCTCAGAGCCCAACGAGATCTCCGCTAATAGACACTAGTCTTTCCTGACGCTATGCGAGATCCTTGACCCCGTAGGGGAAGATGTAGAGGTGTGCATCGCGGTAGCCAGTCAACATCTTGGCTTGTGTGGCTTGCCGCTTCGCAGAGGAGTGACGAAGAAGAAATCCCTTGTCACGTTCCAGGTTTCTTTTCACCGTATCCATCCCGATAGACATGAGAAGTTTCGATGGCCTCTGACTTGATATTGCAGGCTCAACAGTCATCAGATTCAAGCCCTCGTCCTTTACGCCATCTTCCGTATGATAATACACACAAAGACCTCCTCGACGGTGTCTTCTTTCTTCCTCGGCCATTACGGCCTGACCTTGAGACACATCCACATCTGTAGAAGGTATGTGCCCTCGATTTCACAGAGAGGTCGCAAGGCAGGAGGAAGAAATCAGACTTTATGCAAATTGCACCTCAGGAAGGCGAAGCAACTGTGCTGTTGCCATTGTCGCTTGAAGGTAAGGGCTTGAGGGGCGACTAATTTTGGCACAGGAAGTGATTTCAAATAAGGGTTTTGCTATAAAGCAGATTTGATACGAGCAAGGCAAGAGGGAGGTGTGATCAGTGTGACATCTGAAACATTTAGTAACATCTCATAACAAATAAATGCAATTTTAGGTCCGAACGGTCTCTACCTCACCACTGATATTTGATATCATACAGAACTTTAGCGGGTAATATATCATCGGTCTGTTGGCGATTAGGGCAAGGCATTTCAGAGTCTTCTCTTGATCAAGAAGACTTCCAAATGAGGTCCCAGGACCGCATAGGATCAGAGCTTGAAGCCCAGCTCTAGGCATAGTCGCCCCCATCCTCTTGTTGATGAACTACAACGCGATTCCTCGACGCATGTATGATAACAGGGCTGCTAAGAAGAGGACCAATTGGAGGATGAACACCGTTCTAAAGTAAGATTCCATAGGCCCTGGTCTTTATACAGATGGGTACTTCTAAAAATATACGACGAAAGTCTCGATATGGATCTACTTCTTTGTTGTTGGAGGTGGGTCAGATGAAAGACGAAGTGGATCAAAGAAGCTGTGTGGGTCAGCCCGCAGGCCTATGAAAGTTACATAATCACCGATATGCCGAGGTCCGCACGGAGAGCGGAGAGCATTGTTATATCAAGCTTGGAAGCGTAAACAGACCTATTGTAGAACAACGCTGGAACCAAATCCGACCATCCCATCGGGAAAAAAAAAAAAAAAAAAAAAGGCC